AATACACTTTTTTGTTTGGTCCATATTTTAGCATTCAGGGTGATACTGGGATAAGCCCGGTTGTCTGTATATAGTGACAAAGACAGGAACGGCATAAGATCCATTTAGATTAGACTTTTAATATCCTCTGCTTCCAATAAAGTGCAGTAGACTTGGTTGCCTTGGCGTTGTGGTTTGATTGTGTGTCATGGCGGATGTGACCCCAGATGAGGACGGGTTGAATTGCTGCGGCAACCGGCCTTGTATCTTGTAACAACAGGCGATAAACCCAACAGCAATCTGCTACTTCCTACATGATGTCACAATAGAAGAAAAAAGAGCTGACACTGGGCATAGAGAAATGTGTATCGCTTTTTGTTGTTTTTGCTTTCTCTGTGATTGTATTTTGTGAAAATGACAACAATCGTTTTGTCACTTAGTTGTTAAATAAGACATATTGTGCCTTTGTTTGCTATATACTGTAGTTCTAATCTATGCCACCCATGGAACATTTTCTTATAATCTAGACATCTGGACACAAATTGCAATATTGATCTAAAATGATAGAACCAAGTCAGCTGATTTCCGCATTTAAAAATTGTGGTGTCCAATGGGAGCCAACATCACTGTGAATGACATCAACAACAAAGAGCCATGCAGTTGTCAACACTTCCGGTGGACAGTTTCACATCACCTTAATAAGTAGTATTTATTTTTTCATTTGTACCCAAATGTCTACAGGACATGGTAGCTATTTTGGTACAAGATGTATAGTAGTGTACTAGTTTCTATACATAGCTGTTGTATTGTTTGTTTTTCTGAAATGCCATTTTTTTACCATTCAAAACTGTTGTTAACTGCTCTGCCTCTGAATACTGAATAGTGAATACTGAATAGTCTTATAGGTTTGACAACAACTTTGCTGTAAAAGTGGTAATGGCCATACCATACAAAGCATTATCCAGTTCAAGGTGAAATTACATATAGATTTCCCAGATGGTAAATTATTAAGAATAAGCCGAAGCTATTCATATTTAGACCACATTTACTATCAAAACTAAACCTAATCTAAAAGTTGCATCTGAGGCAGGGGAAGGTCAGTTGGAGCAGCTAATGAGAGCAGCAGATGGACCTGAGCTCTTATAGTGAGTTTGAATCTTCACAGAGACAGTCTGTATTCTGAGCAGCTGTTGGCTCTGGACAGATGTGAGCTGCAGACACCGCCGGCCCCAGCTCCACTCATAATGAATAAAACAGAGAGAGAGACGGAGCTGCTCTGGACTAATGTATCCTGACAGAGCACTGAGCCGGACCCCTCTGCTCCTGTGCTCTCCATCCTCGTCATAATGTGAGACACATTTAGAACACGGGACGGCTAGTATAGTTACAAACAACTGGTCATTCAGACATTTTAGATTCAGAAATAATAATATTAATGAAATAATAATGTATTAAAATTCTGGCATATATTTATAGCATAGTTGCACTATTGGCCATTTTGCACTGTCCTTTAATAAATAAATAAACTACTCAAAACAATTAGGGGAACACTTTATTTTTGGGATATCACAGACATATATTGGCGCATTGGAGTTTTCCCCTGAGCTAGTTTGGAACCTTAGCGACCTGTGAATCAGTTTCACAGCCTTTGACCCAATTGCAATAAACAAGGTCTAGACAGGACTGTCAAAAGCGAGCCAACCTCCAAATCTGGAGTGAGTTACCTAGTGGTAGCCACGATGATTTTGTGCTCCTGACCTTCCGAATCGTTATTTCTTTCTTGTTTGAGGAATTTCTGATCATTTTGACTCTATTGCAAACATAATGCGTTACCTCCAGCCTTGTGAAGTCACACAGGCAGTCCAGCTGCTGGAGGATGGATCATCTGTACTTTCAGGTGGCCAGAAGGTTCAGAGTGTCTCCCAGTGTCATCTCCCACGCATGGAGTTGCTTTAGAGAGATGGGCCGGTACTCCAGGAGGCCTGGACAAGGCCAAATAAGGGCCACCACCCAACAGCAGGACAGATTTCTCCGTATACCTGCGATGCGGTCCAGGAGAAGCACTGCTAGGTCCCTTCAAGGAGACTTTCAGCGGGCCACTGGAGTACGCATTTCTGACCAGACTGTCAGAAACAGACTCCACAAGGGTGGCATGAGGGCCAGGCGGCCGTTGGTTGGGCCGGTTCTCACCGCCCAGCACCGTGCAGCCCAACTGGCCTTCAGCAGGGACCACCAGAATTGGCAAATTCGCCACTGGCGCCCAGTACTGTTCACAGATGAAAGCAGGTTCACTTTAAGTGCATGTGACAGACGTGACTGAGTCTGGAGACGCCGTGGAGAGCAATATGCGGCATGCAACATCGTTCAAGCATGACTCATTCGGTGGTGGGTCAGTTATGGTCTGGGGAGGCATATCTCTGGAGGGTCGCACAGACCTGCATGTGCTTAATCAAGGTACCATGACAGCTGTTAGGTATAGAGATGAAATCCTCAGACCCATTGTTCTACCCTACGCCGGTGCAGTGGGCCCCGGATTTCTTCTGGTACAGGAGAATGCCCGGCCTCATGTAGCCAGAGTGTGCCGCCAGTTTCTGGAGGAAGAGGGCATCAATGCTGTGGACTGGCCCTTGCGTTCTCTGGACCTGAACCCCATTGAGCACCTCTGGGACATTATGTATCGGCATATTCGGCAGCATCCAGCCACACCAGAGACTGTCCAGGAGCTTACCAATGTGCTGATCCAGGTCTGGCAGGAGATCCCCCAGGACACCATCCGCCGCCTCATCAGGAGCATGCCACAACATTGTCGAGAGTGCATACAGGCTCGTGGAGGGCATACCCACTACTAAAGTGGCTGTGCAATGTGCTGTGCTGCAAATTCATCATTTCTTCCATTGTCATTTCTCCCTACAGTCACTTTGTTTTTCAACATCATTTCATAATTCGGTCCTCCAAGAGTTAACTTTTGTTCTTCTTGGCCAGTTTGATGCTCCCAGTGTTCTGGGTACATTGGGAATTTAGTTTCAGTACAAAACTGTAACATTTGTGCATTCGACATTGAGTTTTGTAATAAAATACAAGTGTTCCCCTAACTGTTTTGAGCAGTTTAGATACATAAATACATAACTATTTTGAGGACTTCACCATTTAAATAGTTAATTGTTAAGGCAATGACCCTAATTTTTCATCATTCAGTAACCCATGGACACAATAAATATGCTTTAATATGTTAGTAAATAATTAAATAAAATATACATTTGCAAATAATACAAAATGCAAATAATACAAATCTTGATGAAGCAACACATTAAGATACCTGCCTATAGCTGCAATTTGGCCTTGCAGTGCCCCATGCGTTTATAGAGATTTGGTTTAATGCCAAAGTGTGGAACATTCCAGACAAACAAATAACATCACCTTACAGAGAAGCAGGTGACAAACTTTCCATCAGCAACATAGTGGACCTCTAATATAAATGGGAACTATAAACATTAAGTATGATGTTATATACTTAAATAAGTAACTAAACTCTCTCCTCTGCTCCTCTTCCATCCTCTCAAAAGAACACCTTTTCACACCCTGCACCTCACCTCAAGATCTGTGTTCAAACTTAGATTCCCACCATTGTTCTTACAGCATGCAACTGAAATACAGATAACAAAATATTACACTTCACCAAAGGCTGAAAACAGTGAAGCCTCTGTCCTCTGCTTTCTGGAGTATGTGCTGTCAAATACTGCAATATATAAATTCACCCATCGTCTTTCTCTCATCAGTTAAAAGTAAGATAAAGGTTACTGAGCTGTATGCAGTATAATATGCTGCAGAACTTGTATTATTCTCTGGTGCAGATTTGCCAATAACACACAGGGTCAGGGGCTGTTATATGACTTCTCACTTCAACAACTTCAACAACTTCCACAACAATCTGGAAAAACTACTGAAGACGCCTTTCACCCCGATAAGCACAGATAGACAGGATCTGAGGGGACATTTGACATAAGCCTTAGTTTTAACACAAAAATAAGAAACATCAGCAAATTAAAGTCATTATTTATATATAAAGGAGTTTTACACATCACTACGTTCTGACACAGTGCCTTCACAGCTCAGTTATTTGTCCAGAGATCTGTCAAACAATGGCTGACACACTGAATTACGCATTGATTTTACCCCATTTGCCCTCATGAAATATGTATTAAACGTGTACTATGAAACTTTTCAGGTGGAGAGTCTGTCACATGTTTATTTGCCTGAGTTGTTATTGCTTAGCCAAGTTCTGCACTGGCATTAAACACACCCATATCTATCTCCACGGAGACATGCAGGGTCAAGTTACATTTCAGAGCTAATTGTAAGAATACATGTTTTTCAAGTTGTTTTTTACAATTAAAGACCCCTGTAACCCTTGGAGTGTTTTAAGTCTCGTCTTAAGACCCACTTTTATTCTCTGGCTTTTAACACCGCGTGAGTTGTGTGGTCCTCTGTTTCTTTTATTTATTTGTAATGTACTTTATTGGCTTTATTTATTTATTGCTATTCTATGATTTTGCTCTTGTTTTATTGTTTTAAGACTAGTATGATTAAATCTGACCGTTTATTTTATCATTTTATTATTGTTGTTATTATTGTGTATTTGCGCAACACTTTGGAAACTGTTTGTTTGTGAAATGTGTTATAGAAATAAAGTGGACTGGATAATAAAAACAGGTTCTGATTAACATTAAAGGAAAGCTGGGATCGTGATCAAGTGACCCCATCAATCCTTAATAGAAAAGCTACATAGAGTGGCTTTAAGTTATAAAAATTGTGCATGTTTTACAGTTTGACTTTGCAATTATGTAAAATTAGCCACTATGCAAAACCTATGCCTATTTCAGGGTTCTGGTTGTAAGTCTATAAATGCTTTGTTGTGTGCATTTCCGACAGGGCAGTGATGAAGTACAGGAGCACAGCTGTGAGCTCTCTCTTTCTGTGTGTGTGTGTGTGCTCTGTGTGTGTGTATGAAATATGGTTCAAACCTGTGAGGTACTCTGGGTCGGGCACCGGGTCAGACAGCTCCTCGTGGCACTGCACCTCCGTTGGCACCGATGCCACCACCATCCCGTCGGGCAGCTGCTGGTCAATGCCCCGGGCGAAGTTCTTTTGCCTGGGGAGGGGCACATAATGGGAGGTCCAGTTAGGGGACAGAGGGACTAAATTATAGAAGCATTTGAGAATATATCAGTTTAAATGCGTTTTTTATTTCAAGCAAATTAATTATGCATAAATTTAATATACACAATTGCAAAAAAACAAAACAAAAAAACAAGCACAACAGCAGACAATTGTGGAAAAATATTGATACCGTACAAGTTTGTGTGGTAATATTTAGGACTAAAATATCAAAAAAATGACATATTTTTAATGCATCTATTTGATATCAATTGGAAAACTGGAACAAAGAGCCCCAAATAAACAAGCTCAAATCAGTCACGTCTTCTCTCATTTTTATGCAAGCTGTCTCTGATCCAACCTTGCCCATTTACACAGGACTGTACCCTATTGGAGTATATTAAAGGGACAGTCTGGAATTTTGGACATAGGACCTCATTTCCTCATTTCATAGTTAGCTGGAGTGTTGGAGACATGCGGAGACACTTTTTAAAATATTCCATCCAGTCCTTGTATTTGTAGAGGTCCCTGGTGCTAGGCTAGTGCATGTCAATGGCCATAGTTAGCCTGCCACTAAAAACAATCTTACCCACTCCACAAAGCACCTGAAGCAAAACTATTATTACACCAGATGTGTGATGTGAATGTCTGCGTTGATAGAATAATGCAAGGCTTTGGGGGCAGGAGTGCTACTTGGATATGCAAAAAATGTGCAGGATTGTTCTTTTGGTGCTCTTCAGTGTAGGGACCAGTCTCAAATACAAAGTAGGAAAAAAACTGAGGCACTCAAAAAGTACAAAATAATTAAAAGCCTTTAATACCACATGGCAGATAAAGTTAAAATACGCCAACGCGTTTCAGCCCTTCAGCCTTCATTAGGGCAAACTCGAGATGGTTATCACAGTGCAGATTTAAAGTAATAGGTGTAGGTCACATGTTCACAGTGGGCTGGCCCACAGTCCCCTAGATGCATGATGGGACATGTAGGCTTAACAAATTTTAATTACAGGCTATACAAGTTCAAATACAATAATACAAGACATAAATGGTACAAATCCCAACAACCAATACATAGAAAGATACAGTATATGAAAATAGTATAAAACAGTATAAAAAACTCATAAAAAGATACATAGTGTAAGGATATATACATATATAGTGTGATAATTCAAAAGTGCTTCAGCTATAGTTTGCATAATATATTTAAGGGCTAGTCTTAAATAATTTCATGAAGACAGGGATATAGAACAAGGATCGATTACACATTTAAAGCTTATAGTTTTAAAGGAAGGGGGAGAAATCTAACTCTCCATTGAGTCCTGGAAACTGTGTAGCCTTGAGAGTGTAGATCCAGTAGGTCTCTCTCTGTAATAGTTTTTTCAGTCTATCTCCTCCTCTTATTGTTTCTTTAATGTGTTCAATTGCACAGACTTTTAGGCTTTTACAGCTGCCATGGTTGGCTTCTTTGTAATGCACGGCCATAGGATACAGGGGGTTACAGGTCCTTATAGCCTGTTTGTGCTCAGCCAGTCTGTTTTTCAATTTGCGTTTTGTTCAGCCTATGTAAAAACGACCACATGGGCATTCAAGTCTGTATACTACATAAGTAGTGTTACAATTAATTAATGTTCTAATATAAAAACTTTGACCTGAGTTAATGTCCATGAATGAGTTTGTCTGTTGTACATGTTCACAAAAGGTACAGTTACCACATCTGTAGCAACCAGCCTTAGTGTCCAACCATGTCTTTTGTTTCAAAGGAGGGAGATAACTGTTCACTAGTCTCACTGAGCGTAGGGGCTTTTCTAAAGGTGATGGTGGGGGTCTCTGGGAGAGCGTCTCTTAGGGTGCTGTCGCTTCTTAATATACTCCAGTTCTGTTTGATTATTTGTTTGATTCGGTTTGCTTCAGTGCCATATTCAGTTACAAAATACACTTGATTAGTACTCAAATTTTTCTTTGGTTTCTGAGTCAATAGTTCTTCTCTATTAAGACTTTTGGCTCGATTGTAGGCTAAAGACAAAGTACTGTCTGTGTAGCCTCTGTTTTTGAATCTACAGCTCATATCTTGAGCATTTTTTTCAAAGTTAGATTCAGTATCACAAATCCGCCGTAGTCTTTGAAACTGACCATAAGGGATATTCTGAAGCAACCATGGGGGGTGAAAGCTGTCTGCTTTTAAAATTGTATTTCGATCAGTTACTTTTCTGAAAATTGTGCTGTGTAAATCCCCATCAAGGTCCTTATAAATATTTAAATCTAAGAAATGTATTTCTGATAAGGAGTATTTTTTTCCTACTTTGTAGTTGATAGAATAATGTCTGATATAAATCTAAGCTTGCATCGCATGAATCGTCGCATGTTGAGGGACTATTTTCTCATATATCAGTTCACTGCTGCCAAGCTTTTTATCAGGAAGTACAACTCTCTGCTGCTGCTCAGACATAAATCCTTCAAATGCAAGGTTGGTTTTACTTATAAAATTATTCTATCAACACAGACGTTCACACTGACAGTGGTGTAATAACAGATTTGCTTTGGGTGTTCTGTGGAGCAGGTAAGACTGTTTTTAGTGGCAGGCTAACTATGGCCATTGACATGCACTAGCTTAGCACCACTGACCTCTGCAAATACAAGGACTGGATGGAATATTTTAAAAAGTGTCTCCACGCATCTACAGCACTCTGGTTCACTAGGAAATGGGGCCCAAAATTCCAAACTGTCCCTTTAAACCTCATACAAATAATCAGGTCAACACAAACATAAACCTTTCTCACTCAAAAATGACTTCACTATGAAAAACTACTGTTACACTTGATAGCATGTAACAGGATGGCATTGTATTAATTTAAATAAAGTTAATTTTCACTGTGATGAAAATGTCTGTTATGGTTTAATAATGTTATATAAGGAATTATTTCCACAGGCATTATAGTGGAAGACATGCTCCACAGCACATCTGAAGTTGATCACCACAAAAGTGCAGGCAAAGAAAAGAAAAGCATGGCTCTTCCAGCTTCATTGCCATCAAAATGTCCATATACATTCACCCCACAGCTAAACACAGCCTTTTTCTCATAATGAACGATTTCCAAAGCATCATTATAAACTCGAGCGATGACAACAGAAGTTAAAGGGAGTGGATGACAGCCAGAGGAGCTGAGTACATCAAAGACGTATAAATCTGAAAAGCGTGTGTGGGCAGATTGCAAAGTGATACATTTTGGCACATCATTAAGAGGAAATCAATATAAAGTAACAATTATGCAGGACGTTGGCTTTTTGGAGAGACAAAAACTCACTTTGCTCATGTCGTTTATCATTATGTTGATTACTGGCTTGTGACGTCCAAAAGCTGCTGTCCTTATTCGTCTGCTGCCTCTGACTCTTGGTTGAACTCCCAGTTTTTTGTTCACTTCATCATTCTGCATCTTGATGCCAGTTAGATCCACAACAAGGCCCGGAAACAAACTGACTTCAATAAATCAATAACTTTAGGTATTCATGTGTTTTGGGACAGACTGATGAGGAAATATAGCCTCTCTGGGAGTCAGGGTGCCATTTTGAATGCTAGTTCATTATTTGACTTGACACAGGAAGTAATTGCCTAATTAGGCGCTGTCATTGAAAAGTAATGCCTTTGTTAATTGCCCATTACCCCATTTTGAAGCTCATTGTTTTTACGTGATCAATACAAATCTACTGTATGTGTCTTTTAGAGGTACACAAAGGTCTCATAATACTAACTATACACTTTCATTTTCTTATTGAACTACAGTGGGTTATAAAACACTTCACAATCCACATTAAACAGCACATGCACAAGTGCTTCATATTGAAGATAATAAAAGAAAGCAAATTGTTGATAAAACAAGAAATAAAAAGGATAAATATGTGTAAAGATAAAATATAGTTAAAAGAAAAGTTAAAGGAGTAGACTAGTTAAAAGAATAGTAAAAGAATAGTTAAAAGAACAGACTAGATTCACATCAAATTAATCAAAGGACCACACAACTCACACAGTATTAAAAGTCAGGGAATAAAAGTGGGTCTTAAAATCAAGCCAGTGAATTTCTAGCTTAAACGGTTGTAGCTGTTTAAGAATAGTGCATATTGTGTTATGTAGAATTCCTTTGCAATTTTGGAGTTTAAACAAAAATGAACTTGTTAAAATTGAAGCCATGTGTATCTGGAGACAGCATGAAGCATTAGCCAGGTCGGTCCCAGGCAGAGTCAGTGAACAGGGGCAGTGATTAACAACAGATCCAGCTCCAAAGGTGTGCCTCCATTGATTAAACGTCCCCCAGAAGACAAGTGAAATTTAAAAAGTTTTCTCTGAAAGAATCAAGTAACTAATGTGAGGTTCATTGCCCCCCACAATCCTGCCTCAAAGTCAACCATTTACTTCCTCTTATTCTCATATAAGAACTCCAGCTGAACAAAGATCATAAAGTCATGGTGAGTGCAGGAATAGGTAAACTTTACTGTCCTCTGCATTGACCTTTCTTCAGTGAGGAGCAGTGGGAGTCTGTTCTCCAGATCTTGAACTTGTATGAAAAGGCCCCACGCCACCCTGGAGTTGAACCCATAACCTTGTTGCTGAGAAGTAGGAGGGAGTACACACCAGGACATGAAAAGGAATAAACCAGATATAACCAGGTAAAGTCCAAAATAAAACCACACCAGGTCAGAAGCAAGAATTGAACTGTTGATGTTCAATTTGAGTTTAATTCGACTCAATTTACTTTAAAAGCCACAAATCACTGAAATTAAATGAAATGAAAAACTGATTTAACCAAAATAAAGTTCAAACAATGAAACAGTCATTGCACAATAAAATGCAAGCAGATTAAATATCAAGGAATAAAACTAAAACAGCTGGATTTATTTAGTTTAGACACTGGTTCGCTTCCAAGCAGGTAGCCTAATCAGTCTGTTTGTCTGATTAAAACCGGCCTTAAATACACTTTTTTACTCCTGGATGCCTCACAATGT